ATTAAGTTGAATCCCGCCTTCCTTCCTTCCTTCCTTCCTTCCTTCCTTCCTTCCTTCCTTCTCTCCTCCCTCCCTTCTTTTTCTTTTTTTCTTTCTCTCTCTTTCTTTCCCTCCCTCCCTCCCTTCCTTTTTCTTCTTCACAGTATTTCCTGTGCCGCTGGCTACCACACAGCCTCATAGTACAGCAACCCCGAGCTTAGGGGTTGGCAATGTGTTCTTCTCTTCAAATGTATCACTTTTGCACACTCTCTCTCTCTCTCTCTCTCTGCCCCCCCCCCTTCCAAAAGTATCTTGTGTGGTTGTGGCCAAACAGTTCAAATCTTGCTTCATCAGTCCAAAGCACTTTTGTTCTAAAACATTTCAGGCTTATCAAGGTTTTCTTTTGCTTATGTGCTTTAGATAATAACTTTTGTGATGAGATTGGAGACAAGGATTCCTTCTGACAGCTCTCCCATGCAGGTCATTCTTGTATAAGCAATGCTGTACTATGGATCTGTGGACAACTATTCAAGCATCAGCAAAACTTTTCAACAGGTTGTTTGGCAGTGATCTGTGGGTTGTTTTGCATGTCAAGGCAGTTCTAGCAGAGATTTTTCTTGGTCTTCTAGCTCTTGCCTTGACTTCAAAAGATCCATGCAATATTTATTATTTTATTAGCAATGTTTCTTACAGTTGAAAGTGTTAGTTGAAAGCATTCAGGTATTTTGCATAGCCTTTCCTTTCTTTTTAACAGAATTATCCTCATTTTCAAATGTTTGGATAGAGGAACCTAGGCTTGTTGAAAATAGTCAGCACAACAACCATAAATGAGAGATGAGAAGGATGCCTGAGAATATTTATTCACCTGTGGAATTGTCTTCACCTTATTGTACAGGAGGCCTAATGAATCAATCATCTTTATTAATAACTTTATTGTACATACAATTAAAGAAGCTCTAAATCAGCTGGAAGGGTATCCAAATCTGGTATGCTGTTTTCTTATTCTGGATCTGTAAAAACCTGGACATAAGCAGTAACCATGCATTCAAATGCAATGATACTCTGATCAAGAATACGGAGGAAAGAAAGAAACAGGAACATCTCCTCTAACTGTATTTGGGAACGGCTTAGTTCAAGACGATGCCTTCTCCAGTTTGCAGGGATTTGTATAATCATGTCTCTATGATGAACTGGTGTAAATATTCTGAAGAGTAAGTACCGGTCTTATTCCAGGCATTACTCCAAGTTTTATTTTGAAACTCTAGAAATGGGAAGAAGCTCATATGATTTCCCCTCCCCAAATATATATCTAGCTTTATATGTTTATACGGTTTATAGTTCAACAAACTTGGGTTTAATTTTGTGTGCTGATTGAGAAACAAATCAGTGGCTGTTTCTCATGATGTTTGAATTCACTCTCCCTACAAAATAGGTGTTTTATTTATTTGTTGGATTTCCTCTGAGTAACATTATGCCAATCATAGCATTTGAACAAAGGAGAGCAATATTTTGGGGATGGTGGTTGTATCTGGAATGTAAGAATATTGTGGCTATCTTAAGAAAAACGGCTGGCACTGAACACCCACTCCCTGGTCAAATTGCTCCCTGTCACCTCTCTGAATGGTCTTGCTCATTCTCCTCTGGGTAAGTAGGTACATTCTGGACAAAGCTGTAGCCACCTACCTGCCATCTATTTCTGTCGCTCCTAGAAAACAGAATTGTTAAGTGTTCTGGTAAATTAAGATAATACTGGAACCTAGTGTTTTGCTTCACAGCATCCCCACTTCCTATTCAATTATTTAAAACGGGAAAAACCTAAAGTCAGGTGGGACAAGGAAACTGCTGGACATCAGAGGAGATGGTTTGCATGGCTTCCATGGGCCTTGTCTATCCACTTGCACCTAATCACAACACAAACACGCTTGGGCAACATCTTTTGCTTCCATATTCCCATGTTGCATTCATCTCATCCCCATTCAAGTTGCTTGAAATAACTGTTATTTTTTAAGATGAGATGACTTGACTGTAATTAATATTCCTCTTTAATACATTTGTTTTCTTATGTAAACAAAGGGAACAATTTGCCAAAAGCTTTATTTGTGGTCTCCTGAAACTCTTCAGAGATTGCTTCAGAACTGTAGTTTTAGAGTGCCAGAAGAACCATATTATTTTAAGTATAATGTGGTTACAGAGGTATCCATAGCTACTGGCAATAGCATTGGCACTGATGATGTTACCTAGTCGGGTAATGAAATGTCTGCAGCCAAACAACCAAGCTCAGAGAGCACCAAGGACTCCACAGTTCAACCCTGACCTACATATATTCTCTTATATTGGGATGATATCAAGAACATGGAACATGTTTTGTGACCTCACAACACAAGATTTGCCCTTTCACACAGAGCTTTCACAGAGTAATTGTTTTAGTTTTTCCAGGAAAAGCAAGTCAGGAATGTTTTCATTTCCCTTTGTGAGTAATGGAGATGTATATATTACATTCATAAAAGCAACATTTTTAGAGACACTTTGTGTGGTTCACTGCGTAGCCTAATGACTGACTTTTATCATAAAAGAATACAAACATGGAACACGCTGCCTAACTTAGTGTACAAAGCATGACATTGGAAGGAATGGATACAGATTGACTAAACTTCCAGTTGTGTGTCCAGGAAGAGCCATTCTATAGCACCTTTAGTTCAAGATAAAGCTTTAATAATAGCACTGTTACTTACTGTGTATTATGGTCTGCCAACGTTCAGCTCCCATTTATCTTAGCAGGTAATAGTCAGAGGAGGTTGACCTTTTTCCATTGCTGACCTGTTCTTATAGATAGGAGGTTATCATTTTCTAAGCAAGTTAAATGAAAAAGACAATCGGGTCTTCTGGATTCCCGGTTATGTACTTCATTGGGACAGAACTGACACTGTGGAATATTGGCCTTGGACTGGAGAGATCTGAATTCAAATCTTTTTTGAAGCCCATCAAAAAACCTTGAGTAAGACATTGTCTTCCAGCCCAAACCACTTCATGGGGAAGTCTAAATGCTGCCCTGAGCACCCTGCAGAACAGCATACAAACATTTCACCAGACCAAAACTCATTTCAATGATTTACAAGTGATTATGATATTGACCCGAAATGTTATCGATATACATGTTTACATTTCGGTAAACATTTGTCATTTTAATAACATCAGTGTATCATGTAATTAAATCCTCATAAAGCATTCATTATGGCAGTTTTCTTGCTATACCAGGAAAAAGGAAATCTCCCTGTATTGTTTTTATTAAAAACAAAAATGTAGGTGCATACAGAAAATTAAGCCATGCCTCATAAAACAGTGGTAGCATTTGGTATAGATGACTGAATCATCAGTCTCTTCAACTTAGCTTTCTGAATTATTTTACTGATGAGACGTATTGGCTGTCTCCTGATTAAATTACATTTTAAATTGTGCTTCTGATTTATCTTTCTTTGTTGTGGCTAACAGTTTGGAGTGCCACCTTTGGGATGAAAAAGCAGGACATAAAGCCAATAAATAAAATCTTAGTTAAATAGGTAAAAGCTTTTTATTTACAGTGGATGCTGCTTCTTCATGGATGCAAAACTACCTTGAAATTTTGTCTGACTTACAGAGTGATATATAGCACCATAAAATGACATTGCTTGTCCTTCTTTTTAATGACCGAGTAATAAATGGGTCCAGTAAACATTCTTCTTAAACTAATATAGTAGAACCACTTCCTGACACCCAACATTATCCATAAATTCCATATGCTTGAACTAGGATGATGTTAAAGAGAGGGAATCTCTTTCAACCATCTGCAAAGTATTCCATCTATGTAAATGAAACATGTATTGTAATTTTTACTGTGTCCAGCAACACTTTGTTTCCCTCGGAAAGCTTGATTGATTGACTGTTTGATTGTCTCACCCTTGGATCATGAATGAGGGAAACATTCTTAATGGACTCCCCTTGGCTTACATCCACATATCGATCTATTTTTGGAATGCTTGTTTCTTGGCATGGAGAATTATTCGTGATGTCCAGAACTTGCAGTAGATTTCTGCTACAATGAAAAAAAGTTAGGTAATTATAGCTGCAGTGATGAATCATATCAGTGGGCAATGCATGTGATTTTGCCATACTCCTGAGCATTTCTGTTTACTATATGTATAGCTACTTTATCTTACTCATGCCCACTAGGGAGCCCATGTTTTCAATTGTAATCGTAGGTAATTGCATGAGGCATGAAAAATTAGATCAGGTTTTATAATGAGACTATAGCAGCAGATGCTTTTAAATTGAAGGTACAGTGAACTCTTTCATCTAGATTGTCAGTTATTTACACCAAGGAAGGTGAGAAAGAATTCTGGTGAGAACATTTGATGGGATGCTAAGCTTTGAAGGGCCATCAGAAACATACATCTATAGTCCCACAGAAGCCTGACTGTTTCCTCTAGCAGCTAAGAAAATGAAAAATCCACATATATATAGATATTGTGAGATTTATTTACTCATATCACGTTAGCTCAGTCATCTTTCATCTAAAAGATAAATGGTTTGTAAAAATAATATTCCAATTTCATACCATATTTTAATGCAGGTTTCTTACTTGTATCTGAGCCATCTCAGATCTTCCCTTCCTATTCTCCAGCCAGGGAATATCTGAATAGTTTACAATAAATGAACCTTTGCCCTCATCGTAATTTCTGTTTATTTATATTTATATAAATATGTACTTTGTTGTATCTGCATTGTTGAAGGCAGGACCCTGCCTCATATGTTTCAAAAACCTAGTACAGAATAACTGAAATGTATTCCATAAATGATTAAGGGGTTTTGCATGATTAAATTAAAGATGATTAAGTAGAGCTCATTGATTGAGCACAGAGCTTTTTTGGCTCACTGCAATGTGGTCGAAATTCCTTTATATTTTGAAAATATAAAGAAGAAAATTAAGTAATAGCCTTAAAAAATTAGGGACATCAAAATGGTGCTTTCCACAACCTTCAACTCATACCTAAACCACTTATGAATTCAATCTGGGAGATGTTTTGGACTCCACTCTCCGCGAAAGGGAGTGCAGTGAGGAGACCAGAGACAGGCATCTTCAGTGGTTGCCCCATCACAGAGGTCTGGACAACCCTCACCTTTTGATTTTTTGGAAGGTGGTAAAGACTCTTGCCTTCTGCCTAACATTTGGGGCTTAACTCTTTGTTTGTTACAACAGGTAATTTTTTTCTATTTATAAGTTTTCTTTTCCCTCTCATTGATTTCATCTGTGCTAATCAAATATTTTCACAGCTTAATAGAGACGTGTCTTGACTAGAAATTGGGTATGAAATGTCTTATAGTATTCTATTAGCAAAGTAGAATACATTAGCCATAAGGTATTTTAAGATCTGCTGGTTATTCAAGATTTGTTGGTTATCCACCTGAATTTTGATTTGTATATTTTTTTACTGTATTTTCTATATTCTTTTAAATTGGTATTTGTATCAGTATTTTTTTTCTTTTTAAATAATCATAATAATGTAAAAAAATTTAGAAGCTTAGTGTAATTTTTTCAAAAAAATTCTTTTCCTAATTTTTCACTGGTCTAATTAGAGCCTCTTGAGTTGTATTGGAAGCTTAAGAGCTTAACTTGTGGTTTTTATCTCAATGCTATGGACTGTGAATGGTTTAAAGTCGCATGGATGCGGGTGGGATGTAATTTTTGAAGAAAGTAAACAAATATAGTAAGATTTTTTACTTGCTAATTGCACAATAGCATTTTCTTCTTCTCAAAAGTCAACATCTACTACAATTGTACTAATAACTGGTCTGACGGGATCTCCAAATTCACCTTTCTGTTTGCTTTATTTACAATGTACACATGAAAGGAATCCATCACAAGACACAACAAAAATCAAGTATAAACTAGAAAAATAGCAGAAACGAGGAATTAGGAAGAGATGGAGGAAATCTGTATTTGACCGTCTCTGAAATGGAAGTAAGAAAGTGGCTTAGTAGAGCTCAATCCATAGGGATCCCGTGCAAGCCGCAACATCACGTGCATCGTGACATCATTGCACCAATCGCATAATTTACACTATTTATGCTATGACGTGAGAGCCGGGTTGGTGTAACAGTTACGGCACCAAGCTAGAAACCGGGAGGCTGTGAATTCTAGTCCTGCCTCAGACACAAAGGCAGCTGGGTGACCTTGGGCCAGTCCCTCCCTCTCAGCCCTAGCAAGGAGGCAATGGCAAAACACTTCCAAAAAACCTTGCCAAGAAAACTGCAGGGACTTGTCCAGGCAGTTGCCAGGAGTCAAAAAACTGACTTGAAGGTACATACGCATGCTATGATATGATGTCCATAATGACCTCCCCTGGCAATGCCTCCCTCCAAACTGGACTGCTAAGGATGGGTGCCAGTACCGAAAATGTCCTTACTCCATAGGTCAACCAACCAATCATAATTAATCAATAAATCATAATTAAGAAGCCAGTCTATAATTTTCTTGCCAACAAGCAGCTGCTAGTGCAAAGGGCCCATTTCCAGTATATCTTACCATTTGCAGGGCAACGTTGCTCTTTAGACAAGTCAATACTTCTCTCATTGCCTAAGACCAAACATCAGTTATAAAGTAGGATTCCTTAAAGAAAAGAATAAAGGCAAGGAATGTTCTTATAGTACTAAGTAGCAAAATAGGAAAAAAATGAAAGCTAAGTAGGGGTAGTCTGGTTTGTATTTAGATGGGCAACCATGAGGCTTTGCTAGGAAGGCAGGCTTAGTATCTAAGCCAGTGTTTCTCACCTTGGCAACTTTAAAATGTGTGGACTTCAACTCCCAGAATTCCCCAGCCAGCTGGGGCTGGCTGAGGAATTCTGGGAGTTGAAGTCCACACATCTGAAAGCTGCCAGGGTTGAGAAACACTGATCTATAGTGTTACTATTCTTTTGGTCAATGACTGTAAATTTAACAAAAAATGAAACTTGTAGTTACACATTGTGATCCCAGGAAAGATGTCAAACTGGTTACCATTTTCCTTCTCTTACCTCCATCAGCTGATGAAAAGCTAGATTAGATTTTAAGGATGACTATGTTACATTTTGCTTTTTTTAAAAAATGAAGTAATAATGAGATCATGCAGAGTCAAAATCATCCCTTAATGATGGGATAACTGATGGAACCATTTGGGTTCCTCTCCAAAAGGCATTCATGCTGTGGGGAAAAACCAACTTTAGTGGCTAGGCTCACACAGGATGCTAAGCCAGAATTAACCATGGCTTGTTGGAGCAAGCCAAATTTGCATCAAGCCGCCATGTTGAATTAAAAAAACACTTTCCAGCTGCAGACAATGCATGAATCCAGCTGAGTTGAATAGGATTCAAGCACGTGGGGGTAAAGTTGGCTTCTTGACTGCCCCAATAATTTAAATTCCCCATTAGAATTTAAGGAGACGTGGCTTCCCAATGAACACGCACGGGAGAAACGCGGCCAGGCATGCTTACTCGGGAGTAGGGCTACCTCCAGCAGCGGCCGGCGATGGTGTAAATCACCGCTGCTGGCACTGGGACGCTTTCCGAGTCTGTCCCACTGATTCAAGCCAGGCTTTGTTCGGGCAGAGCGCCCCCCCCCCGCGCTTCACGTAGGCGAAGCTCCATTGAATTCAATGGGGACCTCCTTCCAGCGCTCCGAGTTGCCTCGCCAGGCTCTCGAGCGGCCGAACCTGCCGAGGCGCGTCGAAGGCGCCTCCGTCTGAGCCTGCTCGGGGCGTCCCCAGGCGTCCCCCGGGCCGGCGGCC